ATAGGCTTTTATACCAGTATACAGTAGGTCCTCGGGTCACGTCAGATCCCATTCCTACTGCACAATGTAACGTGATTTCGCCGTCAGTCAGAACCAACCTACATAAGCACCTACGTCACTCACATGGAGCACATACACAGCGTAATGACGTGAAACAGTAAAAAAAAAAAAAAATTAAAAGAAAGATAACAATTTATGACCTTTACTTGTGGTAAATAAATAATAAAAAAATTTTTTTTAAATAAATCAATGGGAGATGGCGACGTAACCACGAAACAATGTACGTCAAGTCCAATGTAACCCGACGACTGTCTGTATATAAATTAATAAGACAAGGTTGTGTGTCGACATAACAACTAAAAATACAGTAAAAACAGTATAAAATTAACAAACTACTGCATAGGGAAAATAAATAATAAAAATATATCATTCCCCCCCCAAAAAAAAACATAAAAGAAAAAGGGGGAGGGGAGAAACACCTGAGACAAATAGGAAACAAACAATGGAATGGCACTTTGGCTTCCTTCTGAAAAATCCTCCCTAGTCATTCTAAGGTATTTAGTAAATGTACTAACTGCATAGTTGCAAACCAAAAAGCATATAATCACATTATCCTCTGATTAATTTTAAGCAGAAAGTTAATACATTTAGGCAAGTTCCAGAGACCCTATAACACCAAATACTTTACTTTGAATCCTAATTTTTGATGACAGCAAATATAAGTTAAAGGATCAGGATATGATGTAAAATAACTATAAATTTAATCTCATAATCTACAATTTTGCTTTTATAAATCTAATACATTTGAAATACTGTTTGTGTTAGAATTTAGGTTCTTGGGAATTTTATGCTTGCACTGGGATATTAATATGTGAAGAAATTTAGCTACTGCTTAAGCAGCACTTGGAAATAAAAAAGGGATTGCTCTACTAGAAAACTTAAGTATAATCAAAACTTTAATATATATTAATTCAGCCAGGTTCATCATACCCATTTTCAATGAGACAAAAATAAAACAGTCCCTTAGAGACAGTTTAAATCACAAAATGATTCAGTTTAACCTTTTGGTTAATTAAGGAAATTTTCTGCAAAACCAATGTCATTAGCAAAAAAACCACAGACTCAAATATTTTAATTAGTGGAGCTGTGGTAGTGTAAACCTTTCATGCACATTGATATATTTTTTATTTAATAAATTGTTAAATTCAAAATATGTCTATGTGTATTTACACACACAAACACACACAATATTTAATTATATCCCAAGAATTTATCAGGGAAATGTTACTATCTCTAATGTGTAAACTGAAATTTTAAGATTTAGCCAGGCTACTACTGCCTGCACAAAATCCCAGAATAAATTTGTCACAGAAAAGGGTCTGGGTTTCCAATCTTCTACTGTCTAGCTAGCACATGATTCTTTCAAAATACAGTCTGTCTGTCCTAACTGCAAACAAATAATTTCAAATCACAGGGGATTCTATTCAGGATTTCTCTGCAGATTCACGCTGAACAATTGATTAAGCACTGTGCTATCTTTTCACAGCCTCCAAAATCTATTTTCAACTCCCACCCTCATCAACACTTGATGAGGTTCTATGACAGTGACGGCGAACCTATGACACGCGTGTCAGAGGTAACATGAAGAGGTTCTATGACAGTGACGGCGAACCTATGACACACGAACTCCTTTTTTTGGTTGATTTTTCTTTGTTAAATGGCATTTAAATATATAAGATAAATATCAAAAATATGTCTTTGTTTTACTATGGTTGCAAATATCAAAAAATTTCTATATGTGACACGGCACCAGAGTTAAGTGAGGGTTTTTCAAAATGCTGACACACCGAGCTCAAAAGGTTCGCCTTCACTATTCTATGAGATGAAAAGGTAAGACACAAACAATAATAATATTTGTCATTTATCACTAAGACCAAACTTCACTGACACCATGTATTCATTCCATCACTTTAGCATTCATTTTGCAAATATTTATCTTTGTACTATAATACACCAATCACTGCTTTGAACCCTAAAAAGTGCTGACAAGAATTTCATGGTCCCCATACATATGTGATTCTTAAGGCCTAGAAGAGTAAACACTCATTCATTTTTTCATTCAACAAGTATTTATTGGCTTTCAAAAACTAACAAGGCATTCTGTTACTAGTAGATACTGAGAATCCTCTGGTGAGTTCTGTCCTTACTTACATGATGCTAAGAGTCTGGCAGGAAGTTAAACATCAAATAATCACACAAAAAAGTACATATAATACACATTATGTGTAAAGATTAGTGCAATATATGGTAACAAGGCTACTTGCCTTGTGAATAAGAAAGATTTCATGAGAAAGAACATTTAAGTTGAGATATAAAGAATGAATAAAAGTACGTTAGTTGCAAAAAAAATCTTCCTAGAAGAGGGGAAAACAAGCAAGGACTATGTTGTCAAAGGAAACATTATTAGAAAACTCAAAGAAGGCCACTGTGGCAAGAATAGGAGAGAATAGTTTGAGATGACGTTGCAGAGAGACGCAATGAAAAGACCATTCGAAGCTTCAGAGAACACACTAAAAGTGTTGTGTTCATTCCTAAAAGTGAGGGCAATTCATAGAAAATTGTTTAAAAGGGGAGAAAAAAAGGAATAGCATGATTCTATTTAAATTTTAAAAAAAGAAAAGAACATCTTCCAACTAGCTATACAGGCAGTGGGTTGAAGGATTGCAATAGTCTAGGAGTCCATGAGAGATAATGCCATTTTAAAATTGAGAGTAGCAGTAAAGTTGGAAAAATAGATTTAAGAGAAATTCAAGAGGTAAAATTGCAGGACTTAATGACGCCTTGGATGTAGAGAAATGCAAATAAGGAGCTCTCTGTTTGCGGCTTGCAGGACTAAATGAATTGTGATGGTGTTTCCCGTGATAGAAAATATTAGAGAAGGTGTGGGGTCCTAAAGGGGAGGACATGAGTCCACTTTTGGAAATGTTGAGTTTGAATTGCTTTTGAGATATCCAAGTCACGATGTCAAGTGAGTAGCTAAACATCTGGACTGGAACTTAAGAGAGAGATGGGAATATAAATCTGGAAGACACTGATATACAAACAGTACCTGAAACTTTGAGTGTAGATAAGAGGCCATAAAGAACTTGAACATTTAGACAGAGACAGGCCACTGAACCACTCTGGTTCCAACTGTGAGCCAGAGGTGGGGCTTAATGCACTTAAGGGTGTTGTTAAGCAGAAGCCGAGGAAGGCCCTAAATTACAGTCAAGTGTCAGGTGTCAATGCTGCCAGGAGTTCAAATCAGATAAGACCTAAAAAATTACAATGCAGTAAGACTGGGACTAAAATAGAATTATGTGTAAAATTCAGTAAAAGCCCAGAAATGGGGCATCTCCTCTCAAAGTAGAAAATAGTTGGTCAAAACAAGTTGATGTTTAAGCTGTGTTTGAGGAATGAATAGGAGTATCCCAGACAAAGCAGTTGAGGGATAAAAAGGCGATGTGTAGAGAAGGTATTGCTATTCCTCAAAAAGGAACAAAAAGTCTGCATTGGGGTGATGGATGTCAAAAGCCTATGCCTCACATTTCTTGATCAGTCATCCTAGTCATTTTTAATTATTTTAGCTTCCACATCTTAACGGGGCAAAGTAGAAATCCTCACATAGCACCCTAGCTTTGGTCACTGTCCCCCGAACCCACAAAATCAGAACACGGCAGGCAAGAAACACAATGTTAACCCAGCAGCAAAAATCATATAAAGTCTCAGCCTCAGGAAACAAACGTTGAGAATTTCTAATTGATTATGCAACAGAATGAATATGAAAGTCAAAAGTTATGAAAATGATCAAATCAGAATGTACGAAAATTAACTAGAAAGATTTGTGAACATATAAGATAAAGAATAACGTTCCCCCTCTTACATCGTCAGCAGAGGCTTTGAGTCATAGAACTATGGCCACCTTCTAAGGAAGTGGGAGCAAAGTATCTTTTTAAGAGTCCACAAATGACAAATGCTAAATTCCAATTTCACATATTGTTACACTGAACTGAGAATACTCAAAATGAAAAACTATAGGAAACTTGAACATTAGAATAGTTGATTTAGAGCCAACATAGTAAAATGGTGCTTATCTACTAAAATACTATAATACAAGTTATTTTGTTCACAAGATAAATCAGGAATCACTTTTTCTATATCCAGTAAAATTCAAAAGAATAATTGCTAAACCCTCCGTGTCTCTCCCCTTTGCCATGTTTTAACATTCATGTAACGATTATCACTGTTATTACTTTGTGAAATTTAAATTTTAAAGGAAAATTAAACGTCTCTCGTGTGTGTGTGTGTGTGTGTGTGTGTGTGTGTGTGTGTGTTTTCCACATTTACCTGCCATTTCTGGTTGAGAATGCATTAAATCACATGCATATGAATACACTTAGGTTGCTTTTCTCTAAAAATGGGCTTTCAGGAATTACATGGGATTAAATTTTGGTGTGAAATCCGTGTTTCCCACCATTATCTTCAAGCCTGTTCGAGTGTGTTGAAGCATAACTACATGGGGGACAATGAATGACATGATGGCTCATTTCTTCCTCCCATGTCTCCCTAACCTTCTATGTTGGCTTCTTTCCTTTTTCTGCCTCACATTCTGGCAAATGTGTCCTCTTTGTTGCGCAGCACACGAAAGGAACTGAAAATAAGGACACTGTCCTTGGCCGACTGCCTAAAACCACAAATGATATTATATAATGCGTCCCTTCCGACGGAAAAACAGATGGAACAGTTTCCTTCAGGGGACCTGCAAATGGCCACAGGTAGGGACTTTGCTGGGTCTACATGTTTACAGCAGAGAGATGTTGGGAAACCTTGTCAAGGGTGAGGCCCCGCACCGCAGACCGCTGCAGGAAGGGCGGGCCATGGGGTGCAGAGATGACAACACGGGGAGAGGCCCGCGGGCCGTACGCAAGAGGGTGGGGACACCCTGGGCCGCGAGGTGGTACCTGCGCGGGGTCGAGCGCCCCTGGCACTGAATCCGCGATCCAGAGATGCTCCCGGAGCAGCTGCTGGTAGCTGAGGCAGTGCTTCACCGCGGAGGGCACATTCCCCATGGCGGGGCCGGGCTTCAGTCTGCGATAGGCGGGAGCCAGGAGAGAGGGAGGCGGGCGGCACCC